CACGCAAAGTTAATTTTTCATTTTGCACAACAAGGAATCAAAAATTGTGTCGGAAGTCATATTTTTTCTTTTTTTCCCGTCAGTTTTATCGGGCAATTACGGAAAAATAAAAGTCAAAAATCGAACAGTTGGTGGATCTAAAAAAAAAATTGGAAAATTGAAAAAATGGGTCGGCAGGTAATGCAAAATGAAAAAATCAACTTTATGTGGCCTAAAATTATCCATTCTTATTGGCTGTAGGTAGACCGGTCCTTGAACCGAACTGAACTAGAACCGGTTCGTGACCAGTTTAGAAATTTTGGTCTGGTTTATGGTCCGCTACTTGGACTCGATCTTTTAAACCGAGACTAGACCAGGACGGACCGTAACATCCCTACCAAAACCTATTTGGCAAGTCCCGAGTTTGGAGGTAGTAGTGATCTATGACAGTACTACAGGAGGGCTGAATTCGAACCGGGGCCCGAGATCAGAGAACCGAGCGACCAGGTCCTAATGGCGGAGGACATACTAGCTGAACCACCAGGTTGTCACACCAGAGGAAAAGGACATATGCTCCGAAAGTATAGACCAAGGAGAGAGTATCCTTCAGGCATCTAAAGCCTGGGCAGACTGACCCTTTCGGGTTGCTGACTAGAAGTAAGGGAGAGACCGATAAAGAATCCGGGTAAGAAAATGGTTTAAATGCGGAGTACTGGGGTTGCTAGAAACCAAAACAAGGGCATAGAGTATATAATGGGCGCCTAATTAGGAAGGTTGGTGCTTGAGAAAAATCTGTAGAACAGTAGCACCCCAAAAGGTGGCATGAGATATAAATATGAAACGGCAGGTCAATATGTACTAATTAGGAAGAAGTTATAGGAACAAGCACATGAATACATGTGTGGGACATGTACCGCTGTGTTAGGTTTACCTCGAGGATAGTTAAATAGTTTAAATGGGTATCCCTAGTTGGAGTGCAGGTATGGCAAATAGTATAGACTTTGGGTGGACTACTTAAATTAGGCACTTAAAAAGTACACACATAGCTTGATATACCATCGTTGTAATTACATATAAAACTCCGTCTATATCTAATAAAAAGTTCACCAGGCCAATGAAGGTCACCTTAATACCAAAAAAAAAAATAATAATAATTTTTTTTATTTTTTTATTTTATTTTTTTTAAATATTAAAGTGACCACTTATATTTCCTGTTACTTTATTAGTTCAAGCAAATAGTCAATATCTGAAGATATAGACCAGATATTATATCAGTATCATGAAAATACAACTAGTCATACATACAACTTTAGTTGCCTAATTAAGTAATCTGTTTAAAGTATTAGTGCTATACTAGGAGTTCTACACTAGATGCTATACCTATAGCCTAACTAGGAAGCTATCTAATTAAACTTTCTGGCTTTTACTAGTGCTACATATTTCCTTCTAATATGTCCCTTCTTACAAGAACAATTTACTATTTAAGATACTAAGACTTTAGCCAATAACAGAAAGCATTTATCCTTGTGGTAAACCTAACAGTGCAGTACACATCCCATATATGTATTTACTTGTATGTTTAGTAACTTTTTTCTGTTGTGTTGCCGCCAATAGGTTCATATTTCAAGCCAACTTTTGGGGTGATTCCATAACCTAATCCATATCTTAGCTACAATATTTCTAATTAGTCATCCATTACATACTATTGCTTTTGCAAGGTTTACAACAACCCCAGTACTCAATCCAACTGTCTTCTTACCCGAATTCTTAATCAGTCCCTTCTTTACTTCTAGCCAGTAACTCAGAAAAGTTGGTCTGCTTAGACTTTAGATGTCTGAAGGACACCCTCCTCTCGATTCATATTTTTAGAGCATATGCCCTTTTTCTCTGATGTGTTTGCCTAGCAGTTTAGCTAGTATGTTCTCTACTAAAAGACCTGGTTGCCCAGTTCACCAATCTTGACCCTGGTTTGAATTCAGCCGTCATGTAAAATCATCAAAGATTACTACTACTCCCAACTTGAGACTTCCCAAATAAGCTCTCTGTATAGTAAAAAACAATTCCCAAGATTTACACAATCATGGACTTATTGAGTATTTGCACTGCCCTAAACCAGTTTGTATTCCTTTGTAGTTCCCAGGTTTTCCTAGTTGTACAAATGCCAGCAAATCTCCCAGGATCACTCCCTGATGCAACCAAGTTACAGATCCTAAATTTCAAATCCAATCATCTTATACAGATTAGGCCACACCAAATTAATTCTTTGTTTAACATAACTTTAATAGCCAATAAGATAGGGGGGGGAGGGTTAAAATAATAAACAAAATATATCACATAATAAAAAATTGTCTATTCAAAAATATAAATTATATATACTAGAAAACTAAGATATAAATAAATATTTACTGTAAAACGCCATATAAGATACCCAGGTATCTTACAATTTACATGGTAAAAATTTGATTTGTACCCCGGGTATCTTGTATGGAGGAGAGGGTATATTATATGGCACATGCTTATTTGCGTGAGTAATACAAACTGCCAAAACCGAAAGTGGCCAATCGGAGAGCACAAATTTTGACTATTCTGGATCGGCCCGACATGAATTTCGAACACGTGCGAAAGAAGAAAAAGCGAAAATGCTCAAAAATTAGTGTTTAAATCGACCCTGATATACTAATAAAAATATCAGGAACGAAAATTACATAAAGTGGATAACAGTCTATTGCTATAGCATCTAATGTTAACGCTCTAACCCTAAACTTCCGTCTTTACACACTTAGTTTATTTACTTTTCTTTTTTGGTTTGTATTACTCGCGCAAATAAATAAATCGATATTGCATGAGGGTATCTTGTGAAGAGTATATATTAGTCTATTAGTAAAAAAAAATTGGTTATTAAATCGATTCTTGATTTATACCCGGGTCTCTTACAAAACATTACAAATAACCTTGAAATATACCCGGTACAAATCAAGGAGGGTATCTTATATGGCGTTTTATGGTAGTAAATTTATTCTGAACTTTAAGGTTGTGTTTTTTTTTTTGTACATACTAACTGCAAATTATTTATAGAACCTAAAATACTCGATTTTTTCCTGCCAAATCACATGAGCCTGCATAAAGTGCCAAGAAATTTGAGCTATCGGACAAGGTCTGGATCTGGTACATATAGATATACATATCAGATATGTCCAGTACATAAGACTTTTTATGGCACTTTTAGCTGCTTCGGTAAATTTGGGTGCTGGAAAGTATACTTTATGAGCATGTTTCTCCTAATTTGTAAGTATTTAATCGTTTATAGGTTAATAATAGTTGTATGTTTACGAATTTGCAACGGTTCCTTTTACATTTAATTCGGTTATAGCATACTGGTAAACTTAAAATTGATATAAAGTTGTGACTGTACGAATACTTAATGATATGCGAAACTTTATATTTATTAAATTCTCTATCAGCAACTTTTATTTAAGAGATCACAAACAACCGGTATTATCGCATAGCTTATGAAATATTTCATTCGTGGATCTATATCCACTACCTCTAAGTAATTGTTAAAATTTCTTAATTGTTAAAATTTAATCAATCCATAAAGAAATTCTTGCTGCATATAAAAAAAGGATGGTGCGATTTTGTAGGCATAGCTAAATATTAATTTTGAATTTTAAAATTTTAATTTCAAAGCTTTATAACATTACCTGTTTTATAATAAAATTTATCTTAGTGATGGTCTTATTCATTAGGATGTTTCGCAGCCTTATTGTTAGTTTTAATCGTTCCCTTTGTATGAAAATCTTTTTGATTTTTTTGACAGTATTCACATAACGGATAAATTTGCTTGAACTGTTCTTTCAATGATTGAGAAGGGGTTACCAAACCGTCTCTACTTCCACAGTAATAACAAATCGGATAATTTCCTGCTTTACGACTTGAATAGTACAATATTTCAATAGGTGAGTCACAATTAATCTGTGTACGTACGAATATTACTTCTATCAAATAATGATCATCAGGAAAAACCGGTGCGCCACAAGAATATGAATATGACTCTAATGCCTGTTGGTAATCCCGCTGTTCATCATCAGTTAAAGACTTGTTACTATATACACAACGACGTTTTCGGCAATTTTCACAATTAATGTAATCTCGGATTTTTTCAGCAACTAGAATATATTTTGGAATTGACTCTGATTTCGCAATATATGTTGGCCTAAATTCTTCTGTAGTTTTAGTACCATAAACTTGTTGAAAAGCTGCATAGTGGTTCGCATTTTCTAATCGTAATTAAATTTCTTAATATATATAAATATATATTTATTCTAGAGAATAGCATAATTTACCTTTTGATAGAATCGGATCTGGAAGAAAGCTCAAATTACGAAATTCATGTGGTGGAAGACGGATTGGTTTGCAATATAAGCAAGAAGGATTGTTGCACTTTTTTACCTTTAATGTATAAATTTAATTGTTCAAAATACTATATAACGATACAGACTAGAGTGTCCAGACTTGTGCAATTACATTTTAGACACATAAAATGCATAATAAAATTACCTATCTTGATGCAGCTAGTGCGATATTTATACAAATGTTAATATTGACTAATATCAACATAAAAATGCAAATGCACATTTATGCACATTTTTTGATCAAACAATTACGGTGCGGCAGAGTAATTTTTGTTAGTTATTATTATCTCTATTTGTTTTTAATTTGATCCCCCTAAATTTGATTCGCACTAATATCACAGAATCAACATTTCTCATATTGCATAAAAATGCATTTTAAATTGCACAAGTCTGGACACTCTAATACAGACTTAAAAGGTATATAGATTATTGTTAATACATACCTGGAAACTATAAGTACGCATTTGGCAATGAGTTTCCATAAACTTGACTAATGCAGGATGGCGGCGTATTTGCGCTTGTGTAGTTTCTTCGACTTTTAATGTAGAGTCTATACTATAAATTGACTACGTACAAACATTAATTATATAATATAATATATATATATTCATATATAATAAAAATAACGATAATAAATGCCAAATTTACTTTAAATATTTCTGCAATAGCTTCTTTGCTTGCAGGTAAAAAACATTTAAACTTATTATTTTTTAATTGAAGCTGTTCAGTTTGGCTATTTAATAGTTCTTGAACACCTGAAATACATTCTCTTAACTCGGATTCTAATTTACTAAATTCTTGAGCTTTTTTGCGTATACTATCTAAAGTATTTGTCATTCCAAATAATAATTCAGATTCGGGGCTCATCAAGTTATGCTTAAGTGCTACACCTTGAAGACCTAAATTTAAAGTACTCATAATTCGCTCCACAGGATTCGTCCAGCTATGATTGGGAGCAGTACGAACCGCAACAAGCAAATCAAAATCTCTACAAAAAAAAAGACTAAATAATGCAATTTGTACTGAACTATAATTACAACGATGGTCTGGACCTCCATTCTACTGAATGCCTAATGGCAGCGCTTGGCTCAAAAATCGTGTCTTTATATGATACAAACACCTGCCCGTCATAAAATGATCCCGAAATATCATTAGGAATAGATATGAAAAAAATAACTGATGGTGTTAGAGATAGTTTTGAAAAATCATGATCAGCAGCAGCTAATGTGCTTTCTTGAAAAACTATAGAGCGTCGATTTCGCACACCCGTAGAAATTGCAGTATCTTCTCCAATAGGAATTTTGTGCTTGTCATCGGCAGAAATTAAACAAGTCCACTGATGGTATTGTATACAAAATTCTCTCAGATATCTGAAAAGTGCTGCACAATAATGTGCATCTTCACTATTTTTTCGAAGCATTCAACTTTGTACTTTAAATTTTACACTAAACCGACCAGTATAATACATCGCCCGTGTTGTGGTAGCATTTGTGGGGCAAAATTGAAGGCGAATCCATTCATCTGATGGAATCTTAACATTAGAAGGCAAGGGATCGCCGTGAGTATTTTTTAATCTTTCTACTATAGTTTCACGAAGGTCACGAATTGATAAGGCTAGTGGAATATATAGAATGGTTCCGTGCCATCGCTCATTTACCGCAAGTAAATTCTATTAAAATATATTATAATAACAATCATAAGACATATAAAATTGGGTGGCTTATAAGCTAAGTAAATACTGTGCCATATAAAAATTTGCTATAAAATCTTTACTAACATTAATCTTTTTAATAATTATGAAGATTTATATAAGTCCAAACTTTGAAGGTTTCTAGAGTTGGTTCCTTTCATTTATCGAAAATCACTTCACTGATACCTCATTTCATTTCGCCGACAAGTTTATTTCACAGGCAGTTATTTCACCGACAAAGCAATTCTAGTCATTGTCATTAGGGTCAGGTTAGAATTAAAGTTAAGGTTAGTATAGTTTTTAAAAAAAACTTGTTGATGAAATAAGCCATCAGTGAATAATTGTTGGTAAGTGATTGTTGGTGAATCCCTCTAGAATACAAGTTATAGGACCAAATTCACATTTATTAAAAAAAATTTATCAGCAATTTTAGATTATCCAAGAACAAATATAAAAAAAAAAATTCATTTTCTACATGTAACTCCGTGTATCTATTTTTGATTTACTTAGTTGACAAACCGCTTCAATGTAACATACAAACACAAAATCTTACTTGTTCATTAAAATAAGCTTCCGTTTCATCCCAAAATATATTAAACATTGTTCCTTTGAATCCATTATTTGTGCGCAAATCGAATATAATGTTAGGATCCGCTAATATCAACATCAATCGTAATCTATCTTCAACATCACGACTAATTGCATTAGAAGTTACAGCAGCATTTCCAGTAAGATCAAAATGAAGCATTCGTAATACTGCTGGTGTAACTTTCTGAATATAAGAATACTATTTTTTATAAATATAAATGATATATTATAACATCTTCATTAATATTTAAATATCATTTGTATTATTGTTATCTTACCTTATCAAGTACATTTTTTCGCATTTGCCGTGTAAAATAATGAGGCCAACATACGTGCTTTTAACGTTTCGTCTTGCCTATCATTCGACACCTTATTTTCTGGAATTCTCCAAATGTAATTAATCTTTCCCAAATAATTACCCTGATAATATCTAAAAAGTCAAATAGCACAATTTAGATATGATGCGTTTACCAAAAACACTCAAAATTGTAATTCTTTGATATTATTTCAGATAAAAATACTAACCTATACACGCCGATTGGAAATGTAAGCTGCAACTCTTTCATAAATCGGTACCGGTCTACAATATCGTTTGGAAGATATTGTTGAACATCAACATGTTCATAAAATGATTTTTCAAATAATAAATCATCCAATTGACTATATTCATCTTTAAGTTGATAAGGTTCACAAGCACTAACTTGATACATAGTACTGTCATTCTCAGGACTGCGAGCACTTTCATTGCTATGATGAAGTTCATTCATACTAACGGTGGCTGCAATTAAATAATTTGAATATTTTTTTAAAATTTCAATTAAAGAAAGAACAGCAGGCATTACTTGACTCCATTTATTGCTACTCGCCCATGGTTGGCTGATAGAAATTTCGAGTGAACTCGAAAGATGCGCTAGCTTTTGTTGAGATAACTGGTCCTTTTTATGGTGACCAGTATAATAAAACTCATTGTACGATTTACCATCTTGGTATGTTTTTAACTGTGTAAAAAGAGCCGGTAAGTGATACGAACGTGCACTTAGAGTCGAAAGATGCGGGTCGATGTACCAAAGAGCACTTGTAAGACGATTTATAAATGTTTTTCCCATTGTTTCATGTAAACCATTTGTCCAGCCAACCTTTTGAGCTTGAAAAAGCTTAATAATTTCATTGTAAAGTCTACTGTAGTTATTGCGTTCTGTACAGCGTTGAGGAAGTAAAGGCTCTTTTGAATTTCTCATTAAAATGGTAAAAGCATCTATCTCAACACCTAGTTCATTTTGAGTTAAATCTAATGTATCTAAATTTACAACTGGAACAAGGCAGAATTTAACCTGCATAAAACCCAAAACTTCCAACATTTTCAAATCTCCGTTTAATCCATTGTCTACTTCTTGCCAGCCTTCAGACTTTTCTCTTCTAATAAAAACTTCTACCTTTCTATCATCGTATTGCCCTAATGTAGTAATGTCAAAAAGATCAGAAAATCGATTGCTTTTAGACTTTATACTCATTATACGCTCAGGTATAACACATTTAGCACCTTCATTAACTTGAACCAAGAGATAAAGCATTTTAAGAATTAGAAATTAAGAAAATTGACTATCGCTATCGGGCAAGCCTTTTTATTGAAGATATTGATCAAGAAAAATCACATGTAGTTATTTTTTCCTTGTTTTTTTTTTTTTTTTTTACTTGCATTCGGCATAAATAGAAATTATATTGTTTAAATGAAAGACAATTGCTGTTGCTTAGAAAGTCTTTTATGCACAGTATTGCTAAATCTAATGATATATTTTACTAATCAATTATTGTTACCAGAACCAGGTTATCAGAGAAAAAAAGTCGACTAAAAAGTGAACATACTGTTTTAAAAACAATTGGATTTACACCCAATAGATTCGGCAAAAAATGAATTCGTTTTACCCAAACTAAAAAAAAAAAGTTCTTGATTTTTACTAACATCACAACGCAGGTAATCAATGCTATACTTCTTTATCTATTAGTTTTGCTTCTTCTCAATATTTTACTAATGATATTTTTATTTATTTGCAACATGATCCAAGCTATATGACTCGGGACCATTGATCGACAAAGGCGAAGGCATTTAATAATGCCAAATTGAGTTTGGCTCGAGACGATGCTCCATTGAGAACAATAGTAAGGTCATTGTTATGTAAAAGTGTATGAATTACTTCGATACTCTAAATAGCCGTATTGCTTGTAGGATCTAAATCATAGTAGCAAATGCCTAACGCCGTTTGCAATGTATGAAAGCTCATTGATTTCATGTAACTAAAGTAAGAGAGATGAGATACCAATAATAAGAGTCCAAATAATAAAGACTATCTAACCCAAGGGTCCTAGTGGCAGTAGGATTTTTGGTTATCAGACCAAATCTTCTACGCCGTCTTCTGAAAAGACTTCATTGTGTTTAATATTTTGGTTGAAGGGTTGTGGTAGCCCGAATTCGCCCTTCTCAATGAACGTACGTAATTCCCTTTTGTTATCGCTTGGGAAAAGAAATAATTACTACTATTTATTTTAACTACAAATCGATGCATATTTTCATGCACGTCGTTAAAATAGTAATAAGATTACGCGTGATTTAAAGTTTGCCTATTGATATACTTGATATATCTTTATAACCCTACCAATTACGTTCACTCTATTTGATCGTTGTCATTCATATCTCTGAACCCTGCAGAAGTACTAAGTACCGATCGTGGCCATGTTATATAAAAAATCCTGTTTTGAACAAGTACCTTGCTTTTTGTAGCTGCAAATTTCGTATTACAATTGTATTGTAGCATGTGCACTAACACAGCACTAACCTTATCGTATAATATATTTTTTACTTTCTGCACATGCTATAACACGATACTAGTAAGATTAGCTAAAATAGAGTCAATAGTTTGTCTATATTGCAGAATTTTTTGTGAAGTTAGCATAATCAAAATGCAAGCTTCCTATTGGTTAATATAAATATTGTGTTGTTTATTCATACTATATAAATTTTTTAAAAAGAGGGGGGGGTTATGATAAACGAAGAATTAACTTGGTATGGCCTTACTATACCACAGGTCTATTTTTTAAAAGCATTAACTATAAGATTCAATTATGTTTTTTTTTATATAATGTAACAACTTACAAAAGTTTATATACTGTATAGCAGTGTTGTCACAGGACAGCTTTGGACAATTTGTGGACAATTGTGGACAAAAAAACAAATCTAAATTACTTAAAATTTTATTAAGATAACCTATTTTTTTCTTTTCAGAAAAATATTCAAAACTATAAAAAATATATAATCATGTTTTTTTTAAACTGATATATTAAATTTTAAAGCCTAAATATTCTTTGGACAGTTGTGAACATGTGGACGTGGACATGGGCAAAAAAGTCTTGGACATAGTAGACGTGACAACACTGCTGTATAGTATATATATATTGCTAATAAGGGAGTATCTATAAATAAAATTTTTTATAAAATCTTGAATATATTATGATCTAGTGATCCAATTAGGATGATTTTGGTACCATTCGATTCGTCTCTGTAAGACAAATTCAATGGTATCAAAATTATTTCATTTGAACCACTAGACAATATTTTATTAATGAAATACTATTAATTTTATAGTAAATTTATAAGAAAACATAATAACTAATAGTAATTTGTTAATAAAACATGATCCAGTAATCCAAATCAAATGATTTTGGTACCATTCGACTTCTCTTCTCGAGACGATTCGAAGGTACCAAAATTATCCAATTTGGACCACTGGATTAAATTTTAGATAAATTTTTATAAAAAAATTGTGTTATGTTTTAGGAACCCTCCTCTGAATATTGGAAAATCATTATATTTTGGGGGACCTCCTCCCCCCTCAAACATAACGTTATTTATGGATGCCCCCTAATAATAAGTATTAAAATGAGGTGTAGTGTCTTAGTATAGTAGGCTTGTTGTCACTTTCTCCAAGTAGCATAAATAATAATTTTGAAAAATAGCATGTATTATAGTAACTTGTATAAAATAATCAGATCAAAGAGATTTGTAACTTTAGTTGCACCAGAGCTTATTCTTGGAAGATCCACTAGTGTTTATATAATCTGAGAAAACTTAGAAACTATGAAGGAATGTAAACTAGTTTATGGTAATACAAACACTTGATAAGTCCAAAATTGTGCAAATCTTAGAGATTTTCTTTAACGTATAGGAAACTCACTTGAAAAGTTCCAAATTGGAAGTAATGACTAGCTTTTAACAGTACTGCAGAATAGAAGACAATACTAGAAACTTAACCAAAGGCCTAATAATTATAACTTATAAATTCAAGATCATACCAATCTGGCTACTGAAGTCATACTAGAGAAAAAGGATATATGCTTTAAAAGTGTATACCAAGGGGAAGGAGACTATTAAGCACTTAAAGCCAGGCAGACCAACTCTTCTGAACTAACTAGATTGATAGTAAAGATGTTTTTGAAGCCAGACTCATGAGTCGAAAAGGAAGTTGGTATTGGGATTAGTATCGGGGTTAGTTGTAAACTTAATAAAAGCAAGAAGTATATAATGAGCAACCAATTAAAAAGATTGGGCTTGTGTTATGGCAGTATTCCAAAAGATAGCATAAGATACAAACATAATGGTTGCAAACAGCATGACAGACATTCGATTTGATTAGCTTGAAGATCACTAGATTACACAATATAAAAAAATTTTAAAGTAACTCTTATTATGAAAAACTATATCATCAATTGGCAATTCATAGTTTCGCATAATAAATTTTTTTTAGAACATATTATAGTGTTCTTTAACCCTTTATATGTCTTTTGGAAAAAAAGATTAGTATAGATTAGTATCTCTAAAAACTTTTCTTAGAAGGCAAATTTAGGCAAGTAATATAGTAATATAGCATATGAATAGGTATTAAACTTTTTTTTTGCTTCCAAGCTTAACGCCTTTTCTATTGACCTAAGCAACTAATGATGTGGTAATATTTACATCCTACCTGTTCTTTATTTCATATTGCTCGTAATAACCTTATTTATTACTTTAGATTAAAAATCTGAAAGTGAATTTGCAATTGCGATTTATAGAATAACCAAGAATCTAAAAGATAATAACTACAGGATGGTTATGGAGTACACATAGTAGGGAAGGTTCAGAAAATTGTTATATAGTAAATATGGTGAATTAAATTGATCTTTTAAAGTAGCTAATTTATATTACATAGCTAGAGGGCTTAATACAATTCATAAAGCCGATTTAATGCATATTTTTATTCTGGCAATATAGTTAATAAGCTAGTGTCACAAGACTCAAATTCTAAAAAACTCTTTAGTGTACTTCAATATATTGCTCCAGAAGTATTATACACAAATGAAAAGGAATACACTCAAAAATCAGTTATTTATTCTTTCAGAATAATAATAGGCTTAAATTCGTAAGTGTAGGTTTAGATTCGCTCTCATTTTTTATAAATCCTATACTGGTGGGCTTAAATTCATAAGTGTAGGTTAGGACCTCAGATATCTTTAATATAGGTCATAACTGATCAGCATGAATTTTGGGGTTTTTGCTACCCCTAAAATCAAATAAATTTGCTAAATTCAATTATTATATATAAATTTTATAGTAATTTGCTGAAAATTAAATTATCACATCTATTTTTAATAAATATAAAATTAAATATGCTGGCATAATGTATTTTTGTGTGCTGAACAAGTTTACCTAGAGTATAAAGTTAGAATTAATTAGTAAAAGTTTGAAAATCATAGCATTTTTAGTATTTTTATTAATAAAATTATACAAAATATTAATATTCTCAAAATTTTACTAATTGATTATAACTTTAT